TGCGTAGCCGCTAGTCCACTCAAATGAGAGAGAAGATAGAACCATTTGAGAGTGGATTTCAAATATTATCGCTCTTATTAATCTTAAATTGTTAATTCAATGCTCACTCTTCTATCGATACGCAGTCATTGTCATTTGTCCGGACACATAGGTGGAGGAGCTTCAGCTTGGCCTTTCCAAGTTCGCGGCTTAGCCAGGAATGTATGCTACTTGAGTTTTATATAGACTTAAGGTTTCCTGAGCTGATGTTCGTATGCGTACCGTCATGTGTGTCTGTGTGACTGTTTTGGGTGCTTTCTGCCTTGCTTTGTATGTGGTGTTTCTATGCTTGTAGGTCTGTTTGTCCGTCTGGACCGTCTGCATCATCGCCTGCCGTTTCATAAGGAGGCCTACTAGGAGGCGGGTCCGCCAGTCAGTCGCTGCTGTGTACCGCCTCCTCGCTGTGTGGCACAACCACCGAAGCATTCATCTACAGCAGCACCACTAGCTCCAGCGGGAAACATCCAAACAAGGCAATAACCGACGGTAAGCGAGCGTTGGATAGGAGTAGAGAAACGACAACATGGCTCCGCTGGTGTCAGCCAATACGGAAAAAATACAACCCGGTATCAGCACTAGCCCTAGCAACACAAAGGTCCAGGCGCCAACCACAGAGCGGCTAGTGCGGCCGTGCATACATGCCTTATTTATATATGAATGCATCCCACCGCTAGATGGCGTTCGTGAGACAGATATAAAGGGAACGCGTGCAATGAAGCCAAAGACTGAGCTCCGTCGGGGAATCAGGTCAGGACACAACAGCTTCCCCTATCCAGCTGTACTCACTTTGAATAATAGTGGCTGTCGTGGTAGTCCAAGAAGACATTTACTTACATTATAGAGTTTCCTACTAACTCTAACAGTAAATATCTTTGCAGCCATATTGCTTGTCGTATGTAAAGGATATCCAAAGGCGAAAGTCCTCAGATAACTTTGACAGCAGCATCGGCATATGGCACCGCAACACAATTATTATATTCGTCCTTTGCACCAATCTTGCACAATTTAAACCAAGCCAGTTTATTCAGGCAATGCAAGTTTCAGCCGCAAGAGAAAAGTTTGTTAATAGCTTTATTACGTATTATGATATTAAAATATCAAGTTAATCAAGCATATGAATACTTCGACTGTCAGCCAGACGTTTGAATTTTTAATCTAAATTCTAAGTTAATATTCCACTGCCCAATAGCCAACTATAGAATGCAATGTTCAATTTAGCAGTGTTTGGTATATTTAGATAGAGGTCTTGTTATACAGCGATGACATCATATCTAGCTATATAAAACTTTTAAACTACTTTTAAAGCTTTTACAATACTTTGAACATGCCAAAAAGATAGTGAACTAATAATTAAAAAGCACCGGTTTCGTACTTGGTACTTAATCTTTAGTAGTTACTGCAATAGAAGCTAAACAAGAATAATGACACGGAAGTATTAGAAAGTATACCTCAGTAGTGATCATACATTTTTTGGTGACACGGAATGTAAGATAAAACACTCTTCGAAGGGGAAACCGAGAAAATACTCGCATTAATCTGGAATTCCCATTAGTCCGTATATCAAAACAGATTGCACAAAACTGACACCGTGAGCTACTTAAGGTCACGTAAAAATACTTTTCCATATAGGGTTACTGCGAAGTCACCCTACACGAAAAAGGTTAACAAGGACAGCAACGTTAACAAAAAAACATGCATGAAAAATTGAATGAGTCCACGAGAACAACATAGATAAGCCTTGCTTCGACACTCCGACACAAACACACATGTTACGGTAAAAGACCAATACACCAGAGACACAACGAGACATAACCGAAATGGTCCACAGCTGTCAAAATAGAAGTAGTCCCAGAGCGTGGAATTGTGCACTTCGTGCCTTAAAATCAGGTATGAATACATCGGTGATACGCGTTTTTTAGTAACCTCTTAGTAAAATTATCGTATTTCTAACGACACTTACTATTGGAAGTTGCATGTTGGAAGCTGTACAACATGCACCCAAACAAAGATAAAAAAAACCATTTTTAGAAAAATAACAAAAGAAACTACTATAACAAAACCGTAAACTTTTTAAACTACAGACACGCTTCTTGGAGAAGTTTAGTCGTAACATTTATTTTTATAACTTATCCAAAGTTAATAAATACTCAAAAAAACGTTGCTAAACACTTCAATTTGATTTCACGTTTACGTGTTTTATTGGTAAATAATATTCCCAAGCGAAGCAGAATAGCAGAATTAACACTTCATATGTCTAGGTCTTGAGACAAGTTAGCCAGTAAGTGGTTTATAATGATCTTCGTGGTTTACAATTATTTCCGAAAATCGTATGTTCAAGTAGAAAGTTTAGTGCTCGTCTAAAACCTCTACACTGATATTACAATCATATAGGTTTCCATTAAAAAAAAGTTAATTCTGGCCAAAACCTTATTTATAGGTATATTGCATTAATGAGGTCCCAGTCAAAACATTTTAGAAAAGAGACAATTATAGCATATGCATTGGAGTTCGAATGCACCGTTCAAATACACTCCTGTGTGGCATACAACCCACGGTTCTGTAAAATTCCCTTAAAAAACGAAAGAATATTCTTACACTTTGGACGATTAAAGCTATTGAAGGCGTGCCACCGTATAGAACACCATTTTTTCAGTGCTCCTTTTCATTCCTGCTTTTGGGATACATTACTCATACTGCACTGCCTGAGCTTAGCTGTTATCAATAAACAAGATAAAACAGAAACATTAAAATGCAAACGATATACGACAACCGTGCTAAAATTTGTACAAGGTTACAACCCGTGCAGCATAAAGAGTAGTTTACAAGAAACTGTTGTGACGGCCAATTCCTAAAATTATATTTTTGCTTTTTTGTACTCTAGCTAAACCAGGGGACTATGCTATGGTTCAAAACGTAATCGTGCTGATTCTTTAGAACTCTAAACATAGCCTTCAACTGAATTGAATGAAATACTATGAATTCGATTGGCTTGCATTACTTGTCATCTGCTAAGTCACTTGCCAAAATAGGTTCCTGGACATACCTACATTTTGTAATTTGTTCGACTTTACATGCCGTTCATACGCATCGTGTGAAAGCCTGCTTCCACAAATCATATCAGCCTAGATTCCGGATCCAAGTCTTGAATCACCAGCGTTTTGTGTTAATGATGCTTCACTCCTAACAAGAGGAGAGTTGATCTAGGCGCGTAATACGATCTGCAGGGGCGGGCGACTAGTTTTTGAAACCGGAAGCGTTTAAAACGTTTTTGCGGAGCTTATTTTCTTCATCGTCTCTCGAAGAACAATCGCTAGTCGAAGAGAATTGGGCCAAAAAACGTGGAACTGCCGGCAGTGCCGGCTGTTTGGACCGTCTGAGGAAACCAAGAGAAATGGCCAAACTAGATACGGCGGCCCAAAAAGCAGCAACAGGAGAAGGTTCAACGGAAATCGTCTTCAGCAGAACCAGCTAGAGCAACAAACTAGTTGTCCTTATGAGTGCCGCTGCTAGGACCGTCATCATTTAGTGCAGTTTCCATATCCTTGGCTTGGCGAAGGAAGGCCGCAGTCACAACGTCTGTAGGTATTCATCTGGTCCGATCTAGCTTGATTTTGCTGAGCCTCTTCTTTGTTAAGTGCCGTGGTACCTTAGTGATTCAGTGCTTTTGATTCTGCGACTGCGGTTCCGATGGCTCTGATCCCGGTGAACCAACAACAGGCCTGTACCCCATAATTATGTTGAGTTTACCGTTCAACAAATGTCGATTGCGCTTCTTAGCCTCCAATATATGTGTCGACTTCCACTGAATCCATTAAACTATAGGAAACACAAACCTGATGAAGTGAATTGGTGGGCGCGCAAGCATATATACATGAGTTCAAACTGTACTTCTTGATACCTTCAAGAATCCGATATATATATATATATATATATATATATATATATATATATATATATATATCATATATAGAGGTTTCGTCTTTTCTTGAAAAATACATAATATTCCGACTTGTCTAACGTTTGGGCTACAGGCCTATCGGTAGACGAAATACTTAAACATCTACTTAACTTCGCATATATCTCGACTTTATGATGCAAAGATCAACCTTTTCTATAGCACTGCCTGTGATCCATCGCAGTATTTCAAGTATCATAATGAATAGGTAAAGACAATACCCTTAAACCTTTCCTTTAGCTTTATTGCAGTTAAATGTTGACTCAATCTAAGTATAAGCGGCGTGTTCGCTCACTTCTTGTACGAACAATGAAATTCCTCTAAATCACCCCGCACTTTTTGGCATTAAGAGGTTTGCCTAGGTTTTACAAACTTTTTTTTATGAATGGCTAGATTGACTTACTGAGCTAAGACATGATACAGCGGTTTCTCCGAGCAAAGATGGTTAATCACAATATGGTTGACGATTTGAGTCATTATCGATTTGCAGAAATATTCTTTTTTTCAAATGATGGCGTTAATAGTGATTCTTCAATTAGCAAAGAAGGTCATCTGAAACATTCCCATGCGAATACGTTTCGTCTACTGCATTTCAAGAGCCGGCAACGCATTCTTAGGCGAACCAGCATAGTCGGAAGAAAATCTATGTTTAGCCTTACGACGCCCTGCCAAGACCATGTATGGCTCTTCCCATTTACCAGAATTTCATTCGATTCGACATATACTACATTGTTTGCAGCCTTTTTTATGTGGAACAATCGGTGGAAAATAGAACAATTATATGTTGTAATATAATAATATGAATTTTAGAATAAATGCGCGACGACGGTTGTTTAAACACAGGGTAGATAATCGTAGCTGGCTCGTTCTTGTCGGCAAACGGCGAATGCCGACTCGTCAAGTCTAATGAACGACGATGGATCGAATAGCAGTTGACGGTTATGTGGACAGATTCCTAAAACCAATTGGCGGAAACCACTAGGTGAGGGAAACGGGTTGTGGAGTCCAAGCTGCGAAGATAACGGGTTGTTCAAGTGCTATTCGGATACGAGCATACGGGTACGGCTTTGTCTGCATGTGGTAACTCTTAAACTGTAAGTAGTGAGCCCGAGGTTAGCGTTAGGGTCAAGCTTATAGGACGTTCCTTTAAGAGAAGACAGGCCTGCCCAAGCTCTTCTATCGTATTCAAAGTAAAGAGAGGCATTTGAAAAACGAGAATTACTAGGTATATAAAGGCTGCGTATTGAGTTTAAGGTCTATATCAACAATGTCAAGCACATTTGTCCATCAGTGTCACCAAATTCGTTACGGCTACTCGTATAATGTCTTTTAGAGAGCTCATCAATGTTGTGCTAGATTTTAACCAAAAGTGATTTGAGACTGTCACCTGCTACAAGGCCTTCCTGTATCTGAGCTTGCCGTTAGAAGCCTCGAATGATCTTATCCGTGTTGGTAGATATCCCTCGATATGAATTGAAAGTCGATTCAACCTTACAGTATGCAGATATGAATTCCATGGAGTTTCCTACAACTTTTGATACTTGACCTCAGAAAAACTGGATGTATGCAACCAGCGGATGATTAAGCTTTGCAGAAGTGAGCCGCAAATATTTCTTGCTATAATTCACAAATGTTATTTCATATAAATACGCTGATGCACTAGTTCGTACAGCTTTCAAAATAGCTTTAAGTAGAAAACAATTTCGGCCATTTTAACGGTGCGTGTATTTATACGAATATGGAACATTTCGGAGCTTTTTGAATACGAAATTCGGTACGCTCTGTGAACGCTTATTTACACTGGCAGAGCAAAAAGTGAAGTGTTGAAGTGATTCTGGCTACTGCCTGGTTCACTGAGGTTTAAAACGAATCGCCCTCGAATGGTGCCTTCGCTGGTATGCATTGACAAACATATGCCAGTTCTGTTCTATTTTGTACTTTGAAAATATATGAGCAGATACGTCGTGTGTATTAGTGCGCTGTGTGTAGTGGACTGCGCTGACTTGGGCCATTTTGAACAGGGCCATTCATTGGTATTGTAACAATCCCGTATAGACTGAATATATTAGCTTTGCTATATTGTCTTGGTGACTACCGAAAGCCGCTAAAGTATATTTTGTTACATTTTATTTAAAACACATTTTTTCTTGACTACTATTGAAAGCAACTAAAAAACTAATAAGCCTCTTGAGCGGAATTGGATGTTTCGGAATTAGATTCGTCTACTAGGTCTCTTTTTCGCTATATTTCTATTGCTTGCAGAACTGCGCAAATACATGTCTTAAAATTTAATATTTCCATTTTTTTTTTAACTAAACTACTAAGTTAAGACATCGCCAAATAAGAATCGTTTTTTTTTTGAATCTCCAAGATCACTTTTTCAGCGAGATATGTAGGAAAGTCAACCTGTCTGTTAGCTTTGAGGATCATGGTCGACGTTTGTGTGAAACTATCTATTGTAAAATATATTCGTGTTCTTTACGTGTATGGTATATTATTCTCATTTCACACAAATTCAGCCCTTTTTATAAGATCTGCGGCTGCTTGCGATATTTTATTTGACAAATACAAAGTATATGAGAAGCTTTACCTTCATGGTTAAGGTTGTTACATTAGCATTGGTTTATTGTTTGCTATGTCTTTTTCAAATATGTGTTATATACATTGTAGAAGCTCTTTACTCATACTGCTCCGATTTTTTCTTAAATCCGGACCGTGAAATGGATAGAATTTTTCAAAATGTTTAGATTTCTGATTTTCACTATTGGTTGACAAGGTCTATATATAAAGACGTATGATCGTTGTCTTTTCGTTTCTTGTTTCAAGAGATTTCGCTATTATTCGTAAATTGTTGATTATTTCATATTGTCACGGCTTTTTGATCTAAAATACAGTTCTTACGAAATATTGGAATCGGAAATCGACTGGTCGAACTCGCTGTAACGCGCATAAGCTAACATCCATATCCAAAGCCTGCACTTCAGCATAGTCGTTTCGAAATCAGAGACATGGTTCAATCCCTAAAACCAAATCTCACAGGATACACAGCGAATTTTCATTTTGTGCACATAGCACCACCCATCAGCAGTCTACTACGAAATTTACTCCGTTTCTTAGTAAAAACCCACGCACAGTAAATCTTACACACATACACAGTGTTAGTAAAAAAACACACAATTTTGGTAGTGATAAACCTCATGCTGATACCTAGTCTAATATAGAAATCCCCGTGATGATTCAATGATAACTAGACCACCTGGAAACTATACGGTGTGATATAGATATTGAATGTAGCCATAATCTTCGCGCAAAGTATTATGCCTCTGATACGAAATTTAGCAGTAGTTGCGGATGTAAAACTCGAAGCGTCTGGCAGGTGAGTAGAGGTTTCTCGTATCCTAATATTTGGCCAGTGATCGCCTTGGAGCTCAAGAGTACGTACCACGATTTAACTTGACGTGATGCGAAGGTAAAACTACAAAAGTTATTAAATAAAAATATAAATAGTACCGATATACCCTTTTCTTCCATTCGGTTAGATGGAAATGGCGAAGGTTGGGCAGGGATGTGATAAATTAAATAAAGTGTTTGCTCATCCCTAGCAATTTAGCCTTAAGGTTTGGTTGGCCTGTTAAATGCCGTTTCCCGCTCGAATATTTTGTCTATTCCGCTTCCACTGCACTTTATGTGGCTTAAGTTTAGGTGCAGTTCAGACGGTTCCTTTTGCGTGACTTTTTTCTGCTCATCTGTGTCTGGTTCAAAACGTCTGGTCGTTCGTCTAGATTGTTTATACTTCCTATGTTCGCTGTATAGTGCGCTCCTCCTACTGGTTTCAATTACTTCTATCTCTTCTACTGCGCCCCGTCTGGCTATTCATTTCAACTTTTCCGTCGCGTGACCGGACGAGCATTAGACCGCCTGATAGCTAGTTCGCTATACTAACGTTACCGTTTTCTAGTCAACCAAAAGCATTGCTCCAATGCACTGATTTAATCTTTATGATAGTGACGTGTGAGTCAAGCACTAGATTTAGCTGCAGGGTTTGTAAAGTGATGAGTGCGGCATGCATGCATGCATTTATTACGTATGATTCTTTTCATAAATTCTATTCGCTATCACAGATGCATCCTGTGCACATTTGCCGTACCCTACTATTGTACATTATTGTACTCTTATATGCATTACATAGTAATTAAATTACATTTTATATTGCTCATATCATGTTACAGTGAAATAAAAAGCAAGTCAAACAGAAGGAAAATAGATTTTTATAAATATTTAGAAAATAAATTATAAGAATGCTTAAATGATATTCGAAGGTTCGCCGAAGGTCATACGACAGCTTTGGATTGAATTCATTATTGGCGTGTCATCGACGTAGTATCTAGAATCATCATCCTTTTTACGATGTTCATGCTGGAAAGGTGTAAAATAGTATAATGGCTGTGTAGAAGGCACCAAAAAGGCTTAGAGGCTGAATGAATGAGCACAACGTCGTATTTCGGTATAACCGTACAAATACATTAGCATTTGTAAAACATGTAATTTAACAAAAACCATGGATTTAATGCATGTTTTCTTTAGTTTAGCGTTCAATCCAGATGACGTCTGGTTTTTTTGAGGCTATGTATAGTATAAGACCTACATAATGCTTCGATCAGACACTAGCAATATCTTGATACTTAAAAGATATATTGTCTTTTCTATTGTCTCGCTAACACTCTTTTTTATTAAAATGAACAATCATTACGAAAATATTGTAAATATTGTTTACCTTTATTTATGAACGTGTGCGATTAGTAATAAGGTTACATCTGTACCTCTGCTTCAGCGTTTAACATAAATGCTATTGATTGCTACGATACATTGGTTCATAGAGATAATTTTCAGAACGCTGCGGAGCGTAGTATCTATCGCAGTTTAGCAAAATATCAAGGTATGTTTTATTGGGACAAGATCTCACATACAAATAGTTTATAATAGAGAGGTGGCATTCAAAAGATATGGACTCACTAATGGCCTATCGCATTGTCGTGGTAGAAGAATAATCTACGCCTCCTACGCTAAGGCATTGTTGGCCCAAAATAGTTGGCATGGCTACCATTTCGACAACCTTTAATGAGGAAAGAGGTTCCATAGGTGATTTCAGAATTTCAACTTGTGAAGTATTATGAGGTTTAGTTTGCATTTAATTATCATTAGGGAGCATTTAATGAAACTTCTTTCGTGTGGCATAAGTCAAGCAAGAAACACTTGTTCGACAACTACCGCGCTGAGGTAACTTTCTTTCACATAAACGAGGAAACCTCTTATTCCATCGTAGATCTTACTTAAATAACTATTTTGAAAAAGGCTGCATCCTACAAAGCTGAAGTCAGTACACGTCAAAAATTATCCCGAAGCGGAAATAAACTGATAGCTGGCACCGTCTCCGAACTCGGTCTTCAACAAAAGGTTATTTTTCAAGTAACTTAAGAACAGCGCTTTCATATTGCCGTTACCCTTCAGTGCTGCTTTGATCATATTAAAAAAATTTTCAAATAGAGAGTCAATGGTGGCAACTTGTGAGACGTCTCGATGTCATATGAACTCCGCAATTAACGGGAAAGCCAAGTGCGTGCATGTGAGTTTTTGAAGCCCGCTTCGTGCAATGATTCACTCCAGAGGCTGGGTAACGCTCGAGCGGAACCAGAAGTCGACTTACCCGAAGCGAATCTTGTACTTCAAAACGAGGAGAAATTGAAGAACACGAAACCTTTTTTTAAACAACTAAATATACTTCAAGGGAAACCGTAAGTTCGTTTGGTTTCACAATGTTGCAAAGGGATTTTTGTATCAATCTGTAGCACCATTATTAGCACCACATTACTTCGATACCTTACAGACCTAGTAATTTACTCCCGCTTGGCAACATATGCCAAAGACGCGCCAAACGTTGAAGTGTCGTGCGAACAAATGAACCTTATCAATATCCAAAAAATATAAAGGCCATGAGGTTCAAACAAAGGCAACATCCGCTCAGCTTATAAGCCTCCAATTTGCGAAAAGAACATCAGTAGTTTTGCATGTTAATTCTCTTCCTGCAGCTATAGAC